TCACTGGGGTAACAGTTCTAGCTGCAGGGGGCATTCCCAAAGCTTTCCTACAACTTTATTCAAGTTAATAGCATATTTCATATTTAATACCATGTTTGGAATGACTGTGTTAAATATGGCATTAGACATGAATAAGGTCACACGGAAACCCAGAGAATACCCTAATAATTTAAAACCACTCCACTGCCAGGAATCCCAGGCATTCCACAGTTGAAGGATTGACTGTCAGCTCAGCTAACTCTGTGTTACTGTTTGTATACTTGGACCTTTGACATCATTTCATTTTGTTCATAATAATACTGCTGGGTTTTGGTAGATAAATGCAGCTTTTGTTTTTAGCATTTTCTAATGTAAACATACACATTTAAAAGTCTGTTTCTTGGATAACCTGACTAGGATCAAAAATGTTTTTCAGTATGGCAGCAGACAACTGAAGCAGAAAAGCTTTTAAGTGCTCGTACATGACAGCCCTCCACAGTTTGACAGCAGTGCCTATGCACTGCACTCTTCCCAATTACGGCAGTGCAGAACTCCCATAAAGGAACTTCTTAATTGTATATGAGCATTAGGTTCACAAAACCCATTTATAGTGTTCTCAGTTGCCACATTGTGTATGCTTGGTGTGCACAGGAATTGATAAATCCCCTGCCTGGGTTATCTTTCACTGTATTGGAGAAGACAGGAACTAGATCAGGGAAGAAGACAAGGCCATACATCAGTCTAAAGCTACAACTATATTGGTTTACGTCAAGGGACATACCTGTTCAAATAATATGAATTCATTCTCAGGCTGTCTGCCGCCACATTAGGGAGGGCAAAGACAGATCTGCTAATGTACTACATATATGTAGCACTACCCCTTAGGAGTTGCTGAGTATTTGGGTCCCCCTATAGTCCTGCACAGCCAGGCAACATACATTTTTCACAGACTTGCATCCAGGAGTCAGTAACCAGTCCTTGTGCTTGGGTATTTTGGGTTTTATTAGGGGAATTTCAACTTGGATAGGGTAAGGGGTGTATGAGATGTCCAAAGGAACCGATAATCTGAGGACAACTTTCTGGAATTATTTTCAAGTCTCTACAGCAAAACATTCTCTCTTGGAGAGCTAGCCAGCATCTCCTGTAGTACCACCCCAGACCCCAGATAAATGCTCTTTACCCAGCTGTCTGAATGTATCCCTGAGCAAGAGATTTGGTACCTGTCACTTTAAGAAACTAGACAGTCCTGGTAGGTGGTGAATCTGGTTTCCCACCAGAGTGCTCCTTCCCCTATCTGGCCCAGAGGGTGCATGTTTACTCACTTAGTCCTTCTGCTGTGTGACTGGTGGGTTGGTGGCTGCTACCAGGCCTTCTAGCTGGGCTGCTCCTTCCCTGCTACACAGGTGGTCCTCCTTCTGATGCTAGTGAGAGTCTTGTCAGGGTCTGAGTTTTCTTCCTTCCAAGCTCCATGGCTTGTAGGTGAGTCCCTCTCTCCATCTGGGTCCCCTCCCAGGCTCCTGCCTTCAGCTTCCCATCCTCTCTGTCTTCCACCCATACCCTCCTGCAACTGTCTAGGCTCACTCACTTTTAAGGGTTGTCCTGGCCCCTTGCCAAGCCTCCTATTGGGGTTTGGCCAGCTCCCTCAAAAGTGCACACCTCAGATCCACCCACTGCTTCTATATCTTTCTCCAAAGTTCTAGAGAAGGGGAAATTTCCAGAGGGCCGTCTGCAGAGCCTCTCAGCTCTGACCACAATATATATATATATATATATATATATATATATATATATATATATATATATAATACCATTTGAAGATACTAATAACATTTGTGTAATCCTTACTGATACAATACTTTCTTTCCTAACATCAGATATCAAGAAACAGGCATTTTTTTTTTTGCTAGCTATACTTAAAAAACATGTCATGGACTAAGATTTAGTTTTCACTAATATTTGTATTTCAAAGTTTTGAAATCCAAAATAGTTTTCAGTTTTCAAATCACTAATGTGTGATTTTTATGTTCGAAAAAAAAATCTTTCAGAGCATAGTTTGCTGTTCAAGAAAAAAAGAAACATAACGTATATACAGTTGATCATCCCCGGTTCAATTGACAATACAAACGTATGACCCTCCATGCCATACATTCAAAGTAGATCCCACTATTTTAGTATAATAAAAACCCTTTATTACTACATTGCAAGATCTTTAATCTTCTATAATTCTCCAGTATACCCTACTAGAATTTTATCTCTTCCATCTTCTGTAGCCCAGCCCATATTGGTTTAAAAAAATTCTAATTCTAGTGATAAATTTGATTAAATCTAGTGATAGTGATGATGACTGCTGGGCAACCACTCTGGCTATCTAGAAGTGAACTGAGCATTGGATATACAGTATGGTGCCTAGGCTGGAATCTCAGTAGCAGCAGTTTTAGATGATGATAATAATAATAATAACAACAATATACTGACTATAGCATTATATGTTTGCATTCATGATGATAATGCAAATTGACATATGTTACAGTAAATTTTAATAATTTGGGTTCATTTTAAGCCTGAAAATTATGCGATTGTCACTATTCATTCAATAATTGAAAAACTAAATTACACACTAATATGTAATGTAAATGTGAGAGAGTACAGTGCTGTACACATCTGAGAAATCCCCATAACACAGCATTTTCGCTAGTGAAGTGTCACTGCATTAATTCACTCTGCCGCCATAGCTCTTACTGGTAATTAAAAGCTGTTGGAGACTCTCCATCCTGTTAAAAACACCTCTTTCCTACTAACACATTTCAAACTGTTATCTCTCTCCCTCTTTCCAATCTTAGATCTATTTCTCTTTTTGATCTTCAACCCTTCAGGGATACCTAACACAGTAGGTAGGATTTTAACCTTTTGCTAACAGCATAGATTTTCATTACCTTGTTCCATATGTGCTTAGGAAACAGTGTCACTATGATCATTGATCTTTGTCAAGACTGCTATACAGTGCTCACACATACTGTACATAGATGTTCCATTGGCTTTCCTAAGTAAAATGAAGACTATCGTTTATCCAGTATAACATATGTATTTTTATTGTACAGGCAATGTTTCTGTTAGAAACTGCCAGTGCTATATATACACACCATGTTGCCCTCTAATATAGGATCCACTCTAAATTTTAAGTACAACAATCTCCTGTGGTAAGAGACGTGCTGTGTGCTTTATAAGCAGAGTTACTATTTAGCTGTACAGTCTTTCTTATAAAGTTAGCATCTATGTTGAACAGCAGGCAATACATATCATATCTGAAAAACAATATCAAGTTTGGTGTGCTTACTTTAGTTAGTTATTAATAGGTTTACTGATCGGAGAATTTCTTATGTATTGTAAGCTTAAGCATCATAAGGAGCTTTTTGTACTAAAAGTACTATGTGTGCTTAATTAGGAAAGTGAATCTGATTACCGTATTTTTCGCTCCATAAGACGCACCTGACCAGGGGCGGACTGACAACTCATGGGGCCCCCGGGCAATAGGGGATCATGGGGCCCCTGTGTCCTTGCCCAAAGGAAAAAGGTACCAGGGGCATCTCATGGGGCCCCCTACTGACCCCGGGCCCTCGGACAGTGCCCTAGTTTCCAAATGGTCAGTCCGCCCCTGCACCTGACCATAAGACGCACCTAGGTTTTAGAGGAGGAAAACCAGAAAAAAAATATTCTGAACCAATGGACTGCAGACATAGTACAGGAAATTACTAGAGACTGCGGATGTACTACAGGAGATGACCAGAGACTGCAGACATAGTACAGGAGATGACCAGAGACTGCAGACACAGTACAGGAGATGACCAGAGACTGCGGACACATTACAGGAGATGACCAGAGACTGCGGACATATTACAGGAGATGACCAGAGACTGCAGACATAGTACAGGAGATGACCAGAGACTGCAGACATAGTACAGAAGATGACCAGAGACTGCGGACATATTACAGGAGATGACCAGAGACTGTGGAAAAAGTACAGGAGATGACCAGAGACTGTGGACATAGTACAGGAGATGATCAGAGACTGCAGACATAGTACAGGAGATGACCAGAGACTGCGGACATAGTATAGTTGATGACCAGAGACTGCAGACATACTACAGGAGATGACCAGAGACTGCGGACACAGTACAGGAGATGACCAGAGAATGCGGATATACTACAGGAGATGACCAGAGACTGCGGACATACTACAGGAGATGACTAGAGACTGCAGACATAGTACAGGAAATCACCAGAGACTGCAGATGTAGTACAGGAAAAGACCAGAGACTGCTGACATAGTACAGCAGATGACCAGAGACTGCAGACACAGTACAGGAAATGATCAAAGACTGCGAACATAGTGCAGGAAATGACCAGAGACTGCAGACATAGTACAGCAGATGACCAGAGACTGCGGACGTACTACAGGAGATGACCGGAGACTGCGAACATAGTACAGGAAATGACCAGAGACTGCAGAGGTACTACAGGAGATGACCAGAGACTGCGGAAACAGTACAGGAAATGACCAGAGACTGCGGACATAGTACAGCAGTTGACCAGAGACTGCAGACATACTACAGGAGATGACCAGAGACTGCAGATATAGTACAGGAGATGACCAGAGACTGCAGATATAATACAGGAGATGACCAGAGAATGCGGATATACTACAGGAGATGACCAGAGACTGCAGACATACTACAGGAGATGACCAGACACAGCAGACATAGTACAGCAGATGACCAGAGACTGCGGACGTACTACAGGAGATGACCAGAGGCTGCGAACATAGTACAGGAAATGACCATAGACAGCAGATGTACTACTGGAGATGACCAGAGACTGCGGACATAGTGCAGGAGATGACCAGAGACTGCGGACAGAGTACAGGAGATGACCAGAGACTGCGGACAGAGTACAGGAGATGACCAGAGACTGTGGACAAAGTACAGGAGATGACCAGAGACTGTGGACATACTACAGGAGATGACCAGAGACTGCAGACATACTACAGGAGATGACCAGAGACTACAGACATAGTATAGGAAATGACCAGAGACTGCAGATGTAGTACAGGAAATGACCAGAGACTGCGGACATAGTACAGGAGATGACCAGAGACTGCAGACATAGTACAAGAGATGACCAGAGACTGCGGACATAGTACAGGAGATGACTAGAGACTGCAGACTTTTGAGGAGCGGGTACCGGAATTTGACAGGTACCCACTCCCATTTCCGCTGTGATCGCCTAGGCGAACGGAAGTGGAAGTTGTCCTCCCTCCCCGTAGTCTTCTGGGACACGTGACAGGTCCCAGAAGACTACGGGGCCATTCACAAAGCGCAGCGCTTCTCGCGCATGCGCAGTGGGCACCTGGCTATGAAGCCGCAAGCTGTCAAAGCTGGGTGCCCACACTAAAGATGCCGGCACCAGGGAGAGAAGACAGCCGGTGAAACCAGCGGTGATGACACCGCTGGACCGAGAAACAGGTACGACCAAGGAGCAGGTTCTGCTGCACAGAAGAGAGCCGAGCAGCCGGCCTGGTATTTTAACACGGTGGTGACAATGGGGCGAATACCGGGCCGGCCGCTCCATTTTCACTCCATAAGATGCACAGACATTTTCCCCCCATTTTTTTTGGAGAAAAAAGTGCATCTTATGGAGAGAAAAATACGGTAGTTTAAACCTGTTTGTTTCTCCTGGTTTATCTGTATATTCTTAACTGATTTGTTGAAAAAAGCTCACGTTAAAATGTACACACAAAACTGATTGAGTATCTTGGATAGTTCGAAGACAAACAACTTTTGCTGTGCACTGATATACAGTTGCAAGAAAAAGTATGTGAACCCCTTGGGATTATGTGGAGTTTTGCATGAATTGGGCATAAAATGTGCTCTGAACGTCATCTAAGTCACAACAATAGAAGAACACAGTCTGCTGAACATAATACTACACAAACATTAGATGTTGCCATGGTTTAATTGCACATAACATGTAAACATTCACAGTGCAGGGAGGAAAAAGTATGTGAACCTTTGGACTTAATAACTGGTTGACCCTCCTTTGGCAGCAATAACCTCAACCAAACGTTTCCTGTAGTTGCAGATCAGACCTGCACAACGATCTGGAGTAATTTTGAACCACTCCTCTTCACAAAAACTGTTTCAGTGTAGCAATATTCTTGGGATGTCTGGTGTGAATCGCTCTCTTAAGGTCATGCCACAGCATTTCAATCGGGTTGAGGTCAGGACTCTGACTGGGCCTCTCCAGAAGGCGTATTCTGTGCTGTTGCAGCCATTGTTTTGTTGAATTACTTGTATGCTTTGGGTCATTGTCCTGTTGCATCACCCATCCTCTGCGGAGCTTCAGTTGGTGGACAGATGGTCGTACGTTTTCCTGCAAAATGTCTTGATAAACTCTGGAATTCATTTTCCCATCAATGACAACAATCTGTCCAGGCCCTGAGGCAGCAAAGCAGCCCCAAACCATGATGCTCCCTCCGCCATGTTTCACAGTGGGGATGAGGTTTTGATGTTGGTGTGCTGGGCCTTTTTTTCTCCACACATAGTGTTGTGTGTTCTTCCCAAACAACTCAATCTTGGTTTCATCTGTCCACAGTATATTTTGCCAGTAGTGCTGTGGAACATCCAGGTGCTCTTTTGCAAACTTCAAACGTGCTGCAATATTCTTTTTGGACAGCAATAGCTTCCTCCGTGGTGTTCTCCCATGTACTCCATTCTTGTTTAATGTTTTCCTTATTGTAGATGTGTTAACAAAAATGTTAGCATGTGCCAGAGATTTCTGTAGGTCTTTAGCTGACACTCTGGGATTCTTCTTTACCTCATGCAGCATTCTGCGCTGTGCTCTTGCAGTCATTTTTTACAGGACGACTACACCTAGGGAGAGTAGCAACAGTGCTAAACTTTCTCCATTTGTAGACAGTCTGCCTTACCGTGGACACATGAACATCAAGGCTCAAGGAGATACTTTTGTAATCCTTTCCAGCTTCATGCAAGTCAACAATTCTTTTTCGTAGGTCTTCTGAGAGCTCTTTCTGCGAGGCATGGTTCACATCAGACAGTGCTTCTTGAAACCAGTAAACCCAAAACAGGTGTGTGTTTTTTTTAAGGGCAGGACAGCTGTCAGCAACACATCCAATATCATCACACTGATTGGAGTCAAGGTTGGCTCACTCCTGGCTCCAATTAGCTCTGGGGGAAGTCATTAAGCTAGGGACTCACATACTTTTTCCTCCCTGCACTGTGAATGTTTACATGTTATGTGCAATTAAACCATGGCAACATCTAATGTTTGTGTAGTATTATGTTCAGCAGACTGTGTTCTTCTATTGTTGTGACTTAGATGACGTTCAGAGCACATTTTATGCCCAATTCATGCAAAACTCCACGTAATCCCAAGGGGTTCACATACTTTTTCTTGCAACTGTATATATATAATGATTTTAGAATCCTGTGTCATGGGTGCACTACATATGAAATCTTTTTTTGTAAGACAATGATTTTACATCAACAGCTAACAGACTTTTTTACAGATGCTGTTTTTGGCTTTTGACATTTTTTTTCTATAGCAAGTAAACTCCCCAGCATGTTATCCTATGTGTCTATGCACACATAGACTGTAGTCAATGTTTTTTGGCAATGGTGTTTTTTGCCTGGAAAAAAACCCAGAACTAGTGGGTTTCTAGAGTTTTTTATCTGTTTTTTTGGTCAAATAAAACTCTAAAAATCACAAACACAAAAAAAGTGAAAAAGAGGCAAAACGCCGCTAAACGCTAACACAAAAATGCTAAAAAATGCTGAAAAACTCACGTTTTTAACATGACTTTACAGAGCTAATGTTACCAGCATTTTTAAAATGCCCAGTGTGCATGGAGCCATAAAGTTATAAAGCAGATACAAGACATTAGTTTTAAATCAAATGTAAAAAACCCTGCCAAAACCAGTTTAGCTGACCATTGCCGCTGCTACACAGAGTCCCAACGTGGTTCACAGTTGCATCGCAAATCCACCACTTGTCAGATTGCTGCAGGAAGAAGCTTGAGATTCAACATCATCCTAAAGGCCCCCCTCCATCTCAATAAGGAAGCTTCATTCTACAAGTACAGAGGAGCTGGTGAGTATTGACCCATTAGTGATTGCCTACATTGACTTTGTGTCTAATCACCTGGAGAACTTTTACTATCCTTTATTCCTACTGACATCTGCCATCTGCTTGCTATTGAACACTAATTATCCTGCTGGCCAGAATGTATGTATGTATATATATATATATATATATATATATATATATATATATATATATATATATACACACACAGTGCTCAGCATAAATGAGTACACCCCTTTTGAAGAGTAAGATTTGAATCAATATCTCAATGAACACAAGAACTGTTTCCAAAATTTTGACAAAACTGAGTTTTATAGAACATTTGTTTAGCTCATTACATGAAAGTAAAGTTAATAATATAACTTAGATGACAAAATCTTCAGTTTTACTCAAATTAGTTGATGCAAAAATGAAAACACCCCACAACAAAAACTACTACATCTAGTATTTTGTATGACCTCCATGATTTGTAAGGATAGCACCAAGTCTTCTAGGCATGGAATGAACAAGTTGGTGACATATTGTAACATCTATCTTTTTCCATTCTTCAAGAACGACCTCTTTTAGAGCCTGCATGCTGGATGGAGAGTGATACTTAACAGTGGCCTCAGATGTGTGTTTTCGATCATTGTCATGTTGGAAAAGTGCCATGTAGACACCATGCATTTTTCTTTGTACTCCTCACCTTTGTGACACCATATGGTTTTGAAGCCATCAGTTCCAAAAACATTTATCTTGGTCTCATCATTCCAGAGTACAGAGTCCCAGTAGTCTTCTTTTTTCAGCATGGGCCCTGACAAATTCTACCATGGGTTTTAGGAGAAGCTTCCTTTATGGACGACACCCATGCATGCCACTCCTCTGCAATGTATGCTGTATTGTGTCACAGGAAACAATCACCCCAGTTTGACTTTCTAACGCTTTAGCTAACTGCAATGAACTTGCATGGCAATTTTCTTCAATCCTTCTCATCAGAAGATGCTCCTGTGTTATCTTCTGTGGACGGCCTGGACAACTCTGTGAGATGGTTGCAGTTCCACCTTGGTTAAATTTTTGGATCACTTTTGCTACAGTATTCTGACTAATAAGTAAAGCTTTGCTGATCTTCTTGTAGCCTTCACCTTCTTTCTCAGGCCTTTTGACATTTCTCTTCCATGTGGTGCCATTGCTGACAGCATGAAATGGGAAGGGGGTTTCTTTGTTAAGTAATGCCCTGTTATAATCAACTGTCTGCTGGACACCTGTTTAATGAATAATTAGACTCACCCATGCCATGTAAGAATGCTAATTCACCCTGAACTGCTATATGGTAATTGTCTGTAAGCAATATGCATTTGTAATATCGCCCATGTAATGTATGAATGCTAATTCACCCTGCACTGCTATGTGGTAATCTATACTGCTTTTAAAATCCACCTCTAACTGAAGCTGATTCATAACTATCAATGTTCTTATTGGTAATTCTTACTGCTTCACAAATCTTTAACTCTTCCATATTACTGTGGTGTTTATTTTGCTCTTATTGTCTAACCCAAGTTTATGAGCTGATCCTAATCTTTACAACTCTGCCCTCCTGCTCTCCTGTTGTCTCTTGTAGTCCTCCTTTGGTGTGAGAAGTTTGCCCTGCTAGTCTTGTGTCTCTGCTAAGCATTCCTGATTGATTAATTGGCAATTCCCCCACCCAACTCAGTATAAAGTTAGGCCTCCCTTAGGGGAGGCACAGCCAGGGGTAGCATTGGCAACTATCATCATGGATAAAGTATATTGATCTTGGATTAAGTATTGCACTTCGCTCTGCACTTCAGCGAATGCACAAAGCAAGAAACCACAGTAGACAACTTCAAATACTAATCAGACTACACAGTGACCTTTTCTCCATCCAGCTCTTTCAGCTGTTATCTAGTCTGCTTCATCTCCACTCCCTACTCCTCCTGTAAAAATGCACTCCCTACTCCTCCTTCTCACAGTTGTGTCCTCTATCTTCAAACATTCTCTCCTTCACCCCTCTTCTCCACCCACAACTCATATATATCACCCTCACTCCTTTCTTCACCTTATTACTGTACTCATCAACTCCTGCTAATTCTGAACCCACATACTAATAAAACCTCCAGGACACTGGAAACCTGTCCCTCCATATAAGTCATACTCCCATGTTACCTCCCTCACCCTTCTGCTTCTCCTAACATCTGGAGAC